TGGCGCTGGGAGCTGACCGTGGTGCTGAGCGCGCGGCGCGGGCGCGGATGCGGCGCCAGACGCTGCACGGCCGCGCCCTGCGACACTCCCGGACCCCGGCGGTAAGTGGCCAGGCCCGGGGACGCTGCGTCGGTCTCTGCCCCTCGGATGTGGACTTCACGGGCAGGGGCGAAGGGGCATTTTCGTGCATTCTCTTGCGCGGTGGGCGGTCCGGGTGGAGGTAACAGGGTGGGCACTCTTCGCCCCGCGGTGCCCAGCGCAGACAATGCGGGATCTGCGCTCTGGGGGCGGTGACTGTTCTCGGTCTGAGCTAGGGAAGGGGAGAAACCCTCCGCCCGCGGACGCAGGGGCTGGGGAAGAAGGGATAAGGCTGGGAGGCCAGGAATGCCCAGAGGCTTCCTCAGAGGAGGTGGGCCAGGACCTTCCTCCCCAAAGGCCCTTTGTCTCCTGCAGCGTGGGGGTTGGGTGGCTTGCTGATGGTAGCTGCAGATCCTATTTCTGCTTTATTCCCCACCCCACCCCCACGCCCCACAGTGGCCTTCACTCCATCCCTCAGGTGGCAGTGGTGAGGAGAGGCGGCGGCCGCCTACCTCATAGCTACAGTACTGCCCCACAGCCCCACCCGACGCGGGGTCCTAGCAAGCCCCTGGGCCTGGCTTTCTTATCACCATACACCTCTTTGTATGTCACTGCTGTGACTTTCCTGAATATTGGGGGTGGGACCGGGGAAGGCATAACCAATACCCTAACTATTAGAAAAACGTTTTATGTCTCAAGACATTTCTGTTGCATGTGTGTTCCTCGAGCATTTTTATTTTGCTCCATGAAATCACACACCCAGTCACATTCATGTTAAAAAAAAAAAAGGAAAGAAAGGCACGAAATTATCTTCTCAACAGGGAAAGAAAATCCCGGCAGTTACGCCCAAGTTAGTCGTCATGTAGAAAAGCAGTCAGTAGAATGACTTCAGTTGCTCAGTTTGCAATAAATCCATGTCCTTGTGTGCTGTCTGAGGCACTGGTATGGAAGATACATAGACACAGTGTCTCTGTGACCACTTTCTGTCCCCTGGACCCTGCTCTGGCTCCCTCACCTCTTGGCCTCCACCCTTGCCCCCGCTATCCATTTGCACCTGCAGCTGGAGTCATCTGTGAAAGCTGAAAGTTGGCCCCCGCCACTTGCCCTTGAAGGCTGGCTCCCCGGGGCCCCTAGATGAAGGGCAAGGCCCTTCCTAAGGCCTCAGGCCAGGTGTGGTCTGCCGAGCCGGCCTCCCACCCTCTGGCTTGCTGCTCTGGCCACTTGGGTCGCTTTTGGATCTGGAAAAAATTCTCCTTCACTTGCTCCTGGGACCTTTTCTCAGTGTGTGCCCTCTGCCTGGAATATGCATCCCACATCTTTTGCCTGACTGTTTTCTGCTGTCTTTTAGGTTTTGGGTTATATATCACATCCCTGAAACAGAATGATTCAAATAAATACACTGTGTGGTCCTTGTTTCCATGGAATTTTCAAGTTCATTTTAGAGATGGGAGACTCAGCCTGGGGCCTTGGTGTCATTGAAACCTGTCTTAGAAAACGGTGCATATTAACTGTGTTGGTAGAATTAAAAATCCCAGACTCAGCATCCTATTTAGGAAACTTAGATGTAAATGTATGGCTAAGATGTCTCAGACACATAAAGGTCTTCATTTAAATAAGTAATAGCCCACTATCTATTACAGCTGGAGTCCTGGACCTTAAAGAATTTTCAGGCTCTTTGTCGAGCAAGACCAAGCACCGTGTGAACAATGGGTGGGTGGCCACCAAGCACTGCAGAGGAGAAGGAGCCAGGAGGGAGAGGGACAGGTCTGCTCCCTCCTTAGGGGGGGGATGTGCCACATGGTGGGGGAGGACCTGTCGTACTTCCTGCCAGGGTTTGGGATCCCTAGCTACAGGGTTACAAAGCAGAGTGTGCATTTTTGCAACTGAGAACCTGGATGCATCTGGCCTCCACCCTCAGGCAATGACAGTGCCAGCATCTGGCTGTCCACATAAATCCCACTCTGCCCCTGAGAACTGTCGCAGGAGGTAACTGCTCAGCTCGCCTCCAGCCAGGCAGTGGGCCCTCCAGCCACTCAAGGAGTTGCCACTCATGCCTCACACAGGCCATGACTTTCCAAAGAGACAGATTCAGATACAGTATTTTAGTGTGGAAACTGAGTGGACTGAACACAGACTAGCTTTTGTGTGATTGCTCTAGTATTGACAATTCTCTGGTGCATCATTCTGTATTCTCCTGCTTATTGTCCTGTCTGTGTGCAAAGTGCTAAATAAACTCATTGGCAATATTAGTGACACTGAGTGTAGCCATCTAAAGCAATGACAGCTATTTTAAAGGATCATTTTTCAAGTTCAGAGTGGAGTGAAATTTCCAACTGTTCATGATTTTAAATCAGTTGATTGTTCCAAGAACTGAGAAACTGGTAGTTGTATTTATAGAGCTATATATCAAATAAGCCATTTTAGTTCTTGCAGTTGCAAAATTCTGCACACAGTGAAATAATCTTTGCTGTGCCTAGCTGAAATTATTTCCAAGAGAATGATAATCAAAAGATTTTTCCAAAACATAGAAAAGGATAAGTGGAATAGAGATCTCATAATGAGTATCTCCAAATTTCCTGCCATAGAAATTATATTAACCTTCAATTATAATTTTTTCTAAATATGTGCGAGCTACCCTTGTTACTTTTAATCTCCACTTTCGTTGTGCTTTCCAAAATTCCTCACAGAAAGACATTCATTATTCTATTTTTAGATTTCCGACAAAAGAGATTCTGCCCTGATGGTTCATAGACTGTCAGGTTTGGATTCAGATAGCCTGGGTTCAAATCCCAGCTCTGCCACTTACCACCTGTGTGTGCTCTGGGCCAGCCCATGGACATCTTGGGTCTGAATTTATTCTTTGTAAATTGGGAGCTACAACTCATAAGGTTGTGAGCCACGCTTCCTGCCTGGTAAGGCGGGTGTAACCAAGACTCAAGTCAGGGTCACGCGTGCTACAGCCCGGCTGGTAAGCACTGTGCTGTTGCAGCAACACCCAGCAGAGCTGCAGGGGACTGTGTGGCGTGGGAAGGGCGTCCGCAGGTGCGAGATGGGAAAGGCTTGATGAGTACACGCCATCTGGCAGGAGGCAGAAAAGCCAGTGTGGCTGCTCAAGCTGCCGTCCTTCTATTCAGGGTACCGTGACCAAGGGCTGAGCTCCAGCCAGAACCCAGCCCGGGCTCTGCAGCTCTCCCTGACTCTGCGCTTGTCCTCTCACCCTCCAGCCAAAAGTCTGAGGTGCCCCTCTGAGGGGAGGAAGTGCTGCCGGTGGGCGGGAGCAGGTGGAGACCAGTCAGCGTGCCCCATGCGCCCCCAGGAGCCCCTGCAATGCCGGCTTTTCCAGCGCTTCTCATCCTCTTCACTTCCATGTGCCCACTGGGCTGTCCCCGTGCAGAAACATTTCAGGGACTCTGGCACTGACTGTCAGCTGGTCGTGTAGCCGTGTGCAGGTAGCTGCGAGCCTTTCTTGGGGTTGGGTCTGAGAGGCACCGGCTGGAGGCCCCAGTGACGCCCGCTGCAGCCCCTCACAGGCCAAGAGGGGGAGAGAGCAGGGCCTACGGAGCAGCCTTTACGGAGAGGCAGAGGCCAGCCCGGCAGAGAACCGCTCACAGGCAGCTGACCGCCAAGGAGGGGGACACTGGCAGACGGGGGCGTTTTGGGCCTGAACCCAGGGCCGTGGCATGGGAGAGAACTCAGGGAAGGTTCTCACATCTGCCCTCTCTTGCTGGGGTATCGGGGGTCTCCAAAATTACTCCAGGGGTAGCATGTTTAAAACTAGACCCTGCTCCCCTTTCCGCACCTCGCTCAGCTCCTGCCCTCCTCCCTTCCCACCCCCACTGTCCCTCTCTTGGCCTGAATCCGGGTCTTGGAGGCTAGGACTCCCTGCCCCCTTCTCTGTCTTCCTGCCTTTGTGGACTCCTGGCGTTCCTTCCTTTGGAAGCCCCAACAGCGTGCCCTGTAGCCTCTGCCTGCCTCTGTCCCCAGCCAGGCCGTCAGGAATGCCTCTCGCTCCAGACTCTTGCTGGAGTCCTCTCTGCAAGACTCCCTCCCCGCGCTCTGTCCTAGAGCACCACCTTCACTAAAGGCGTGCTGCCACCCATGCGGAAGATGGTGCAGCTCCCCACTGATCAGGGTGAGGCCTGACGCCCCAGCTGTGCCAGGACGGTCAGGGGTCAGCACTCCTGACCTGACCCTGCCCGCCCCCGCCCGGGCAGACCCCTGCACCCTTTCCCACTGAACTCAGAACGAGGACCAGGACGCTTCTCTGGACGGCACTGCAGCTGTCGATATCTGTCAGTGCTGTGTGCACAAAAGATGACATCTGCTGCCCTGCGTCCACTCCATGCCCACCTCCACCGTACCGTTCCTTCTCCTCTCCGTCCATACTCTGTGGGGTGCTCGGCTGTGTCTTGCCTCCCCAGTGGATGCACAGTCCTGGAGTTTGCAATGGGAGGCAGGTGGGCCTGGGTGTCCCATTCAGCTGTCTCTGACCAGATGGCAAAGGAACCTTACCTAACGGGATCCTCCGCTCCACCCACTCGGCGGGGCCGTGATGCCTCCCTCGTGCTGGGGTGGTGAGGGTGCCCTGAGTTGCTGCTGCTAGAAGCCTGGGCCTGGAAACGGGAGTCTGGGTTGGCCAGATGAGCTGAGAGGGTGCTTGGGTGCAGCAGTCACCAGGCAGCTCTCATTTTGTGCCTACTGTGTACCTGTAGGTATGTTGTCTATACAGGCAGAAGCCGTCAGTATGGTGGGGCTGTTCCTGTCTCCCTCTCCCCTCCCTTCAAGGGGGCTCCCAGGGACACAGGCCCTGCAGCCAAGTGAACCTTGGGAGCAGTAGGCAGAGGTTCTAGAGCCCATGGGCCTCCAGTCTTGAATACTAAGTGCTTCCTGCTTTCCTCCACAGAGGCTGGGGTGCTGGCAGCATGGAACTGAAGAGAGGAAAGACCTTCATCAAATCCAGCCTGCAGATTTCCCACGAGAAACCCACAGACCCGGCAGCCACTGTCCCCACCAGGGAGGATGTAGGCCCCCGGTCAGTCCCGCTGGGGGGGCAGCAGAGGTCCCACGGTGAAAAAGACCCACAGGCCAGTCCCAGAGGCCAAAAGTATGAGAGATGCCCCGACCAGGGTGCACAGCCAGACCCTGACGGGAGTCTGGCAGCCCCCTGTGAGGCCACCTTTAAGCTGATACGAAAAAGCAAGACTCACAACAGTGTGCCAGGGGCTGGCAGGGCAGCAGCCACCACTGGGCAGCTGGTAGGCAGTGCTAGCTTCCCGGGGCCCTCGGGCAGCCAGCGAATGATCGACTACCGCCACTTTGTGCCCCAGATGCCCTTCGTGCCGGCTGTGGCCAAGAGCATCCCAAGGAAGAGAATTTCCCTGAAACGGCCTAAGAAGTGCTTTCGGAACCTCTTCCACATTCGCAGAAACAAGACTGAGAACTTGGCCTCACTGGAAGCCAAGGGGAAGAGCTCACTCTCCCCTGGGGGCCCATCGGATGCTGGAGGGCGGCAAGGCAAAGCCTTCCTCCCCCTGGGTGAAGCGCCAGGGCCAGACAGCCTGTGTCAGGACCTGTCAGACAGTGAGCTCCTGACGGACTCGCCCTTCGACCTCTGCAGGGCCCTGTGCGAGGACGTGGCCTCGCTCCAGAGCTTCGACTCGCTCACGGGCTGTGGGGAGATCTTTGCCGACGAGAGCTCAGTGCCATCCCTGGAGCTGAACGAAGGCCTGGGGAGCCCAGCTGGGGCTCCCCAGGACCTGGAGGGCAAGGTCCCCAGGGGCCCCTTCCAGGGCAGTGTGGAGCAGCTGGCCTCGCCTGCCCAGAGCGAGGCGGCTGACTTCGCCAAGTTCTGGGACAGTGTGAATCGCTCAGTGAGGCAGCAGCGTGGCCTGCTGGGCCCATGGCTTGCGGCCCCCCTGGGCACAGACACAGACCAGCACAGGCTGGATGTGGCTGGGCTCGCCCAGCTGCCCTTGTGCCCCTGCAGGGATCCCCGGAGCGGCTCCAAAGCTAGCTCTGTTGACACAGGTACCCCCAAGAGTGAGCAGCCGGAATCTGTGTCCACGAGTGACGAGGGCTACTATGACTCCTTCTCGCCGGGCCTGGAGGAGGACAGGAAGGAGGCCACAAGCCCAGGTACACCCGCAGCCCCCTTTCCACGGGACAGCTACAGTGGGGATGCCCTCTACGAGCTCTTCCACGACCCCCGTGAGGGCCCTGTCGGCCCGAGCCCGGATGACGACCTGTGTGTGTCTGAGAGTCTGTCTGGGCCAGCCCTGGGGACGCCGCTGTCTATGTGCAGCTTCCACGTGGGGGCCGAGGAGAACCTGGCCCCAGCACCAGCCCCCGACCTGCTCAGCCAGGGCTTCCTGCAGAGCTCCTGGAAGGGCAAGGAGTGCCTGCTGAAGCTCTGCGACACCGAGCTGGCCATCACCATGGGCATTGTCAGCTGGCTCCGCCGTGGCCCTGCACCCCGAGCCCCGCCTGCCCCCGAGGAGCCCACAGCCCCACCTGGCCCCCAGAGGGCCCCAAGGGCACGGGCAGAAAAGCTGGAGGGCAGGGGAGGCCAGGCCTCAGACACAGGGGTGCCCACGGTGTGCTCGGCAACCGGCAGGCAGGAGCGGGGGGGACACTCGGGCGCCAGATTCCTGCTTGCTGGGGAGAGCAAGGTCCCCATGGGCACTGCGCAGGGGCCCAGCACTCTGTCCAGACACCCCTCTTTGGAGAAAGGGACACGAGGCCGCCCTGAAGGCATGTTCTCCTCTGTGGTGTCTGCGGCTGCTGCGACAGCAGACACTTCCAGTAAAAACAAGGCCCCGACCCCCTCTGCCTGGCCCAGCTCCCAGAAGGAGCCTGGGCCACCTGGGGACCTGGGGTGTTTCCAAGGTCCCCAGAGACCAGGTCACGGGGGAAGTACTCTGGACACAGAGCCCATGCTCATGGGCTGTGTCGCCCATGTGGCAGCCCTGCAGATACACCAGGGTGGCCAGCCCCCACCCGGGCAGCCTCTAAGGCAGGACGCAGGCAGAGGGTTCTTCGGGCAGCCCCAGGCCAAGGACCCTGACATTCTGTGGCAGAAACAGCCCAGCAGCTCCCCCAGTGTGGCCGCCGCCCGCGACCTGCCCTCTCCGGCCAGTGCACAGGACCAGAGGTGTCGAGACCACATCTCGGACCTGAGTAGGCTCAGGGTGGAGCCTGCTGGGCTGAGTGTCCAGGGTGGTGCCTCCATGGAGGGCCAGTCCCCACAGCTCAGCAGGGGGGCTGTGGAACAGGTGGCACATGGCAGTCTGCTGGACTCTGAGGCCCCCTCGGCTCCTGCTGCCTGGTGCAGCCCCCAGTGCCATCACCCAGAAACCCCGGGCCTCACTTTGGACAGCCAGCGGGAGAGGGGGCCCCCGGCAAGTGCCCCCGAATGCCTCAGCAGCCTCCTCACCCGAGAGGGCCTCCTCTATGGCTAGCCAGGAGTGGGGGCCCCAAGGCTAGCTGTGGCCGAGCCCCACCTGCGGGACAGGCGTGCCCTCGCCAGAAGCAGCATTCTTATGGCCACATTCAGAAGACCCTGGGACCCAAATCTCCATCTTTTTTCCCTGACATGAGGACTAGCCCTAACCCTAACCCTAATGCTAATCCTAACACAGAGAATCATGGGTGGGCGCTTTCGTGTGGGGACATCTTGCCTGAACCCACCAGGGCAGGTGGCCCAAGGCCAAGGACAACTTGAAGCTGCGAACATCTTGCTGCTCGTCAAACAGCATGTCCAAGAGAGGAGCTCAGGCTCGACGCTGATGGGAGGGAAGGGTGCACAGTGCAGGGGGGAGGAAAGGGAAGTGGGGAGCCAGCACATCTTCATGGCATGTGGGAGGAGGGATCCGATCATGATCTGCAAAGACACTCTCCTGAACACCATAATCCCGAATGCTGAAATCCTGAAAAGTCAAAATCCCTAAAGTCTAAAATCCCAAAATCACAATTCTGGAAGATAAAAATGCCAGAAATATAATTCTGGAAAAAATAATAAAAAATTCTTTAAAAGGTATTTAGTCACATTTTTAAAAGGGGATTTAACTGAGGAACATAAAAACACAACAGAACACTTCATAGGCCACTTTACACAATAAAATATCCAGTAATAACACATGTATTTTGCAAGCATAAACACTCAGGCATGCTAACGTCAGTCTCACGTGTTTAGCAGTTAGGAACAGACAAACTGTATTCATAAAGCAGTAGATCAGAAATGGAAATATAGAAACACATATCACTTTGGTTGGTAACTGCGCACCTAGCTTTGTAAATACCGTCATATTGTGATGGACAACCGAAGTCTTTTTTTATGAGATCGATCAAAAACCATAGTGGGTCACCGCCACACATGCAATCGCCCAGAGGGCTGAGATCTCAAGAAATTTTATCTTTCACAAATGCATATGTACAAAAAGGACATCTCTTCATTTATTGAGGACGTTTCAGTGTTTTTACATACGTGCACAATGCTCACACAAAAAGTCGAAGCTGTGATAATGCACTTTTATACAAATCAGAGCTCTCTCAAATCTCTACACAGTTCACACCTCCAATTCATACCTGATGCCAGTAGCATGCTCAGGCCAAACGCATCCAGGCCACTGGTGCAAGTCCTGGAGTCCAAAGGCCATCGAACCTGGAGTTCTGATGTCCAAGACAGCAAAGAAAACCCGTCCCAGCTCTCAGAGAAAGACCAGCTGGACTTCCATATTTGTTCTCTCCAGGCCCTGGCCGATGGGATGGCACCCGCCAACGTTGAGGGCACATCCTCCCACCTAGTTCACTCAGACTCTAGAAACACCCCCACAGATACACCCAAAATAACGCCTTGTCAGGTTTCTAGGTAGTCCTTAATCCAATCAAGCCAATGCCTAAAATAAGTCCACAAGTCTACCCCTTGTCTATGTGGCACCCATAGGCATCTCCTTGAACCATACTTAATTCCAAATAAAGACAGTAACAATGTAGTAATTCTGCCTAACAGATGCAACTATCCTGTGATTGTGATTTTCAGGATTTTAGATGTCAGGGATTTGATCTTTCAAGATTTCAACATTGGGGATTACGGCATTTGGAATTGTGCATTTCAGGATCATGATCCAAACCTGTGCGATTGTGGGGTCTGAGGCTTGGTGGGGGCAGATGGGGGGTAAGCTAGGGAGGACCCACCAGCCCCAGGACAGGCGGCCACACATGCTGAGGCCTGGAGGGCTTCTCCTCGGGTATCCAAAGCAGGACCAGCCCCGCCTCAGCGGGAGGCTTGAGCCCGGCCCTGCCATGCGTCGCTGTGCCACCCTGCCAGGGCTGGCCGGACCTGCCCACCCTGCTGATGGGTGCTGCTGGATTCTCTGTCACAATCATCCCAGACAAACAATGATTTCCTTCCACTCGCACTCTGTAACTGAAGCCATGGATGGCGAAATGCTCTTTGGCAAGAAGGCAGTTGATTCTTCCCAATCTGTTCCACCTGCGAGTGGCAAAGGCCTTTGACTCCCACCCTCTGCATTGTCAGCCTCTCTCCCTCCTTCAGGACAACTCGCCTTCGAATGGGGCTGTGCTCCCCTGCCCCCTGAAAACCGCAGCACTCCGCAGCGCCCAGACATTTGGAGCTTGGAGGAGAAGGCGCTGGCGTCTTTCCTGGCCCAGTGTCAAGCCAGCAGGTGCGGGGGCCACGAACATTCTCTGGGATTAGATTCTACCTCAGCCGGCACGCTGCAGTGAGACGCTGAAAGGGACAGGGCAGGCAGCTATGAAATGGGTTTCTAGAGGAAAGGCCAGCATAGGAGAAGGGGTTGGTCAGGTCAGGGGCAAACTTCGAGGAAGTCCTATCTCATACAGAGCTTCCGCCGGGGAGGAGAATGGGGGGTGCCTGCTCTAACACGGGAAGAAGGCAGCGCAGGACTTGCAGGTGTGAGGGCTGCAGCCTGAGGAGGAGATGCCGGCTCAGTGCCTCTCCTGATTGCCTAACGCTTGGTTTCAAGCTAGAAAATGCTCCTGTGGCCCTTGTTCGCTGAGGCCTGCTCTGTGCAGGATGCAGGCTGTGTGTTGTAGGTTCAGAAAGGTGCAGCAGGGCTCCTGACGGGTGCACCTGGACCTGTGAGGCCACATCTGACCCCTCCTTCCACCTCGGGCAGCTCACCTGATCCCAGCATCACCCTCGCTGCAGGTGTTAGCCTCACTGTTCAGACCTGGAAACTGAGGCACAGAGCGCTGGTGTGATGTGCCCACAGACATGCACAGCTAGTGTGTGGGGTGCCTGGTTTGGATCCCACTCCTGGCTCTAAAGCCTCCTTGGCACATTCCAGGACCTCTTGCTGAGCTCGCCCAGCGAGCGCCCTGCTCAGAGCCCTCACCCCTCCTCCTTCTAGGCCCCGGGTATCTGAGCACCCTCGGTGCCAGCCATGTGCCCCCTGTTAGCAGACTGAGAGCCCCGAGGGGAGGCTGCCCTGACTCAGCCTCAGCCCAGGGGCTTTGTCCTGCACCAGATGGAGCAGATGCTCAGTAAATGCTTGTTGAAAAGAATGAAGTGTCAGAAGGCTGTGCATGGATTCTGATTGACTGTTGACCATGAGCTTTGTGTCTAAAGAGAAACGGAGTCAAGGTTTACAAACGACTCTGGCTTGAGGGCCAGAGGCCCTCCCTGGCAGGGGATGGACATTCCCTTATTGTGCCTCGTTGCGACGCAGTGACTCATGGTGATGGAGAGCCCGGCCAGGCTGAGAGAGCTGCAGAAGGCAGGAGCCAAGGTGGTCCCGGTGCGATCAGGAACAGGGGAAACAGGGTGCCCAAGACCCAGGGGCCATGTCCAGGCATGGTCTACAGTGGCCTGATAGCAGGCACAGGGAAACAGGGCCGTGCCTCCTGGGAGGACCCGCTGGCTGCCTGCTCTTCACTGGGAGCCCGTTAGACAGCCCCAGCACCCACCTTCCACCATGTGGGTGGGGGTACCAGGAATGGCCTGCCGAGTGCCCTGCTGGGGTAATGGAGGAGGGCTACATGACCCCCGCAGAGGTGACCTTGCTCTGGCACCCCACCCTCAAGCTGCCCTCCCCGGTGGGAGGGGTCCAGGCAGTGGTAGCCTGGCGGGGCTCCGCAGGCCTCAGGGTGACCCATGGAGGAGAAAGAGGGGACTTCAGGGCCAGCTCCTGGGACAAGTGCCTGGCCCAGTGCTGGGAGGGGAAGAGGCTGGTTGGGCACTTTCAGAACTCTGGTCATTTCCAACCCTCTTGTTCACACATGGCTGCAGAGGTGACGGCAGTGTTTCCCATGGGAAATAAAATCCTGAGAAGTATGCCCAGCTGTGCCCAGCTCACAGCTGTCCCACAGAGCCCAAGGGGCTGGCCAGGGTCCCATCATGGTGGCAGGGTGGGGCGTCACCCTGGCCGGCCGTGCGCCGTGCCTTTCAGCCGTCCCGCTTGTGCCGGGCAGCTGGGGGCTCTGGGAGCGTGGGCAGGAGAGAGGCGCTGAGAAGAAGGGGTGAAGCCCAGCACAGGCCACGGGGGCCTGCGGACTACATCAGTGTAGCTTCGTGTCTTTCCTTGTTTCCTATTTTGTTATTTTATTTTATTTCCTGGAACAAGAATAAATACATGGGATACAAAACTCAAAAGACACAGAAGGGAAAACAGTGGAAATTGAGTACTCCATCCTTCCTCCTCATCCTTCTGTTATTGATACAAAATTCATTCACATTGTCAAAGGACAAAATTGGAACAGATTTCATTATAGATCTGATTGGCTTTTATTTGCAATTCATGAATAGAGCAGCCTCCATTCTACAAAATAGAATGAGGGCCCCACTGGACGATGGCAGGACAGTGGGTTTCGTGAGGTGGGAAAAAGGAAACAGAGTAACAGGAAAACGCTGACCAGTCACCATCAGGTCACTCCAGGTGACTGTTTCGTGAGGGTTGAAGCAGAGGGGACACCCTTATTATGACTCAGGTAGACCGTACTCTCCGTTCTCAGGAAAAGCTGGTCTGTTTGGGGATCTACCTGCTTCCTTGCAGTTTCGGCTTGAGGATGTGGCGTTTAGCACACGTGAGTCCACTCTGGCTGGGTCTGGTCTGCGGGGCCCAGGGCACGAGCCGAGTTGTTGAACAACACTCACTGTCCCCAATCCCAACAGCGCCAAGAGCACAGCCCCTTGCCCTCTCCTCCGCGAACCAGTGTGAGTCCTCAGACCCTTCCTCTTCCGTGACGTGCGCACGTGAGCTTTACCCCGTCTCGCTGTGCTCCTGGGCCCGGCGCCCGCGGGGCGGCGCACCCCGTTCTCCCGAGCAGCTGCGCAGCAGTCTGCCCTGGCGGCAGCCCGTCCGCGCGCTCCGTCTGCAGGACGCGCACGTGGTCTCCCATCTTGCCGTGGCAGACAGTGCTGCCCTCCTTTATTCTCCCAAGCGTTCACTATTAAAGTCCTCTTCACAATTGTAAATGGGAAAATTAATCGACAAGAAAAAGATGTGTTTTTTTAACGAAAAGCACCTCTTGCCTCCACTGCCCCCCTCTACCGGCTGCCCTGACGGTGACCTGGACTCCACACTCATGCAAACGAGGCGCACATCTGCCTCCGGGAGGGAGAGGCGGTTTTTTATTATTACATGTAAAGACTTTGGAAGCTGCCATTCCCATCCTTCAACAAGAAAAAGCCAAGCAAACAAAAAATCAATGACTTTTCTGGACCCATCTGAGAACTGAGCTCACAGGGCAAATGACTTTCTCAAAACCCGGAGAGACAGATGCATCCAGAGAAATTCAGCAACCTATGGCCTGGAGCAGGTGTCTCCAGATGCCAAAAACTGGTAAAAACACTTAGATAAAAGTTGACAGGTTGTTGCAGGCTGAGTAGGAAGTGGAGGGCTGAGCACTAAAGGGACCACAGTATCAGAGGCCGTGCCTCCAGGAACCACTCCGTGTTTTCAGGGTGAGGATCAGAGAAAGAAGCCCCTGACCCTGGCAGAGGAAGGGGGGCGGCTGAACCCTCCTGACCCTTCTCCCTCACATAGGCCTCGCTCACAGGGGAGCGGCTTCCCCAGGGCTATTCTGACGCCTTTCCAGGCCGAAGGGAGGGCTCCACCCCACTGCCGTTCTCCCCAGCCTTCCTGTCTCACCTAAGGGAAATGTACGGTGAGGGGAGCCATCGTGGAAGCAGCCTGGAGACACCGGTGGGGAGGGACCCAGGCTCTGAAGGCTTCACCCTACCCAGAGGCACAGGGACTAAAGGACTGAGGAAATCAGAAGACATGGGCCCCCCTCTCTGCATAGGACCCCCGACACTAACAGCCGAGTAATAACAGCAGTGGATTATAGTCGAAAGAGCTACCAGACAGACTCTCTGAGGACCAGAATAAAGGGAAGCCACGAAGAGAAGAGAGGGGGAAAAGTAAGCCCATTAGAGTGACTCGAAGCGTCTGGTGCCCAGAGCTAGGACAAATATTACAGCAGCCAGATGACTAAATCCTGCCATGGAAAGCCTGTTGCCTCAGCACCTGTGACCCTACACGTACAACGTGTCTGACTTTTGACCAAAAATTGCAAAGCCTGCTAAAGGCAAGAAAAAGCAAAGTCTGAAGAGAAAAGCCATCACCAGAACAGACTCACATATGACACAGAGATTGGAATGAGCAGACAGCGAGTGTAAGCAACTGGATTGATGTGTTACAAGCTCTTATGGGAAAAGAGCAGGTGAGTAATGTAAGCCTAAAAGAAGAGTTCCAAAAAAAAGTCCAAAGGAAATTCTAGAAATCAAAAATTCTATCTTAGAAATGAAGAATCACTTTGAAGGGCTCATCAGGAGACTCAACAAGGTGAGTAAGGGATCAGGGAGCTTTATCAGAAAATCCCTTCAGATGAATGAAAATGAAAATGCCACATACCAAAACTTATGGGACGCAGAGAAAGCAGTGCGAAGAGGGGAATTTATAGCTGTAACGTACACATTAAAAAAAGGAAACCTCGGCCAGGCGCGGTGGCTCACGCCTGTAATCCTAGCTCTCTGGGAGGCCGAGGCGGGCGGATTGTTTGAGCTCAGGAGTTCGAAACCAGCCTGAGCAAGAGCGAGACCCCGTCTCTACTAAAAATAGAAAGAAATTAATTGGACAACTAAAAATACATAGAAAAAATTAGCCGGGCATGGTGGCACATGCCTGTAGTCCCAGCTACTTGGGAGGCTGAGGCAGGAGGATCGCTTGAGCCCAGGAGTTTGAGGTTGCTGTGAGATAGGATGATGCCACAGCACTCTAGCCTGGGCGACACAGTGAGACTCTGTCTCAAAAAAAAAAAAAAAAAAGGAAACCTCAAACCAATAACCTAAGTTTACACCTTAAAGAACTAGAAAAAGAATCAAAAATTAACCCAAAGGCAGCAGAAGGAAAAAAAAATAAAGATTAGAGGATAAATAAAATAAATAACAGAAAAACAATAAAGAAAATCAACAAAACCAAAATCTGGTACTTTAAAAAGATAGACTACATTAATAAACCTTTAGCTACATTGATTGAGAATAAAAGAGGGAAGACTCAAGTTACTAAAATTAGAAATGAAAGTTGGGGTATTAATACCAATTTTACTGAAATAAAATGGATTATAAAAGAATTTTGGCCCAGCACAGTGGCTCATACCTATAATCCTAGCACTGTGGGAGGCCAAGGTCAGAGGATTGCTTGAGGTCAGGAGTTTGTTACCAGCCTAAGCAAGAATGAGATCCCCGTCTCTACCAAAAACAGAAAAATTAGCTGGGCATGGTGGCGCGCACCTGTAGTCCCAGCTATTTGAGAGGCTGAGGCAGGAGGATCACTTGAGCCCAGGAGTTTGAGGTTGCTGTGAGCTATTCTGATGACTCTAGCTGGGATGACAGAGTGAGACTGTCTCCAAGAAAAAAAAAAAAGAATGTTCTGAACATTTTTATGCCAACAAGTCGGATAACCTAGACGAAATGGACAAATTCTTAGAACATACATTGACTAAAACTGAATCATGATGAAATAGAAAATCTGAATAGACCTATAACTGCTAAGGAGACTGGATCAGTAATCTAGTCTCCCAACAAAGAAAATCCCAGGACAAGATGGCTTCACTGGTGAATTCCACCAAACATTTAAAGCAGATTTAACAGAAATCCTTCTCAAACTCTTCCAAAAAATGTTAAAGAGGAAGGAACACTTCCTAATTGTTTCATGTGGCCAGCATTATGCTGATACCAAAGCCAGACAAAAATACTACAAAAAAACTACACACCAATATCCCTTATGGATATGTGTAATAGTTGCAAAACCCTCAACAAAATACTAGTAAGCCAAACTCAGCAGTATATTAAAAGAATTACACACCAAGACCAAGTGAATTTTATTCCTGAAGTACAGGATGGTTCAACGTTCAAAAATCAAATTATATAATACACTACTTTAATAGGATGAAGGAGAAAAAACACATGACCACCTAATATGGTGTAGAAAAAAAATTGACAAAATCTAACACTCTTGCATGATAAAAAAAAATACTCAATAGACTAGGAATGGAAGTAAACTTCTTCAACTTGATAAAGGTAATTTATGAAAAGTTCACAAATAACATCATCTTCAGTGGTAAAAGACTGAAATCTTTTCCCCTAAGATAAGGAACAAGATAAGGATGCCCACTTTCACCACTTCTACTCAACATAGTACTGGAAGTTTTGGCCAGAGCAATTAGGCAAGAAAAATAAATTAAAATGCATCTACATTTTAAAGGAAAAAGCAAAATTATTTAAGTTCCCAGGTGACATGATATAATATATAGAAACCCCTAAATATTCCACAAAAAACTGTAGAGTTAATAAATTAATTAGCAGAATTGCAAGATACAAAATCAACACACAAAAATCATTTGCCTTTCTATACACTAGCAATGAATAATCTAAAGGAAAATTAACAAAGAAATTCCATTTACAATAGCATTAAAAATAGGAAAAAAATTTAACCAAAAAGATGAAATAACTGTACACTAAAAACTATAACATACTGCTGAAAAAAATTTAAAAGATGTAAATAAGTGGAAAGACATCTCATGTTCATAGATTGGAAGACTTAATATTGTTAAATGGCAATGCTACCTAAAGCTATTAAATGCAATCCCTGTGAAAATCCCAATGGATTTTTTTTTATTCAGAAATAGACAAGCTCATCCCAAAATTCATATGGAATCTGAAAGGACCCAGAACAGCCCAAACAATTGTAAACAAGTAGAACAAGTTGGAGGACTCACATTTGCTGATTTGAAAACTTACTATAAAGCTACAGTAATCAAAACAGGGTCCTACTGGCATAAGGACAGACATAGACAAATTGAATAGAACAGAGAGCTCATAAATAAGCCCTTGATATATGGTCAGTTGATTTTTGACAAGGGTTCCAAAATCATTCAATGGGAAAAAAAACATCTTTTAAATAAATGACACTGGAAAAAGTGGATATCCACATGCAAAAGTATGAATTTGGACCCTCACCTTATAATATCATATACAAAAATTAACTCAAAATGGATCAAAAACTTAAACATAAGAACTAAGACTATGTTGGAAGAAAACAGAGAGGAAAATCTTTATGATGTTAAATTTGGCCTTGATTTCTTGTATATGATACCAAAAATATAAGCAATAATAGAAAAAAATAGATAACTTGAACTTCATCAAAATTAAAAACTTTCATGCATCAAAAGACACTATCAGGATGGGAAAAGACAACCTACAGGATGGGAAAAAATATTTGGACATCAAAAATCTGATAAGGGATTAATATCCAGAACATATAAAAAACTCCTACAACTCAACAACAAAAAGACAAACAACTTAACTTTAAAAATGGACAAAGGTCTTGAATAGACATATCTTCAAAGAAGACCTACAAATGCCCAACAAACACATGCAAAGATGTTTACATCCCTAATCATTAGGAAAATGCAAATCAAAACCACAGTGAGACTCTTCATACCCAGTAGGATGATTATTGAAAAGAAAAAATAGGTGCTGGCAAGGGTATGGAGAGATCAGAACCCTGGTGCATTCCCAGTGAGAGTATAAAATAATGTAGCCACTGTGAAAAACAGGCAGTTCCTCAAAAAGTAAACATAGAATTACCATAAACATATGTATAGAAAACATACCATACAATAAACATAGGGGAAAAAGAAACATCAATTCTATCCCTAAGTATACACTCAAAAGAAGTGGAAGTGGGGACTCAAATAGATATTTGTGTGCCACTCTTCATCACAGCATTATTGACAATAGATGAAAGGTGGAAACAACCCAAATGTTCATAAACACAAGACTAAATAAAAAAAATGTTCTATAAACACTCAATAGAATATTATTCAAGCTTTAGAAAGAATGAAATTCTGATATATGCTAGAACATAGATGAACCTAGAGGACATCATACTAAGTGAAATAAGCCAGAGACAAAAGGACAAATATTTTATGATTTGACTTAAATGACATGCCCAAAATAGGCAACTTCACAGAGACAGAAAGTAGAACAGAGGTTACCAGAGGCTGATGGGAGGGCAGCATGGGGAGTTATTGTTGAATGGGTCCGGAGTTTCTGTTTGAGATCATGAAAAAGTTCCAGAAATGGATAATGGTGATGGTTTGACGACACTGTGAATATACTTAATGCCACTCACTTGCACACTTAAAAGTGTTTAAAATGATAAATTTTATGTTATGTATATTTTACCACAATAAAAAATGAAAGAAAAAAAATATCAGTGAGTTTGAAGATAAGTAATCGAAACTTCGAAAACTGAAATACAAAGAGAAAATCAGACAGGGCTGGGGTTACCATACATGTAATTGTAATACCAGAAAGAGCAGAGAGAGATGTGGGGAGGTAGCTAATCTCCCAGCAAAAAACCGGGTCCCTTTGGTAGAGTTGCAAGGGATAAGAAAATAATAGAGAAAAACGGAAAATGGAAGAAATAAAAGAATACACTGAGACAAAGATATAGTTTTATAAGTTTATAAAGATTATAGGCAAAGCAGGATCTCAGGGGGCTTAGACCTTCTCCATGGGTCTCAAAAAGCCCCGAATGAGGTCTTACATGGTAACTTATAGGGAATAGTGAATAATTGCCAGGGGTAACAGATTTACATAACAGCAGGTAGTTCCTCTCAGGTTAACAGATTTTCAAAAGGCTTCTACAGAAGGCTTCTACAGATTCTTTAACCAATTCTATCTATGTGAGCAAACTGTTACAAAATCTTTCAAAGGTTAACTTCTAAGTTCTAAGGTAAGTTTATCATTTAACAGAAGAGTTAAACAGAGATATGTTGGCTCCACGTTTATTAGGTTATTGTGAATGGAGACAGGTAGTCTAGAGTGGTTTAAACAAGAGCTTTGCTTCTAGCCATTCGGGCAGCTGTCTGTTCCAGGGGGCACTCCATTGTCAGCTCTCAGCCTGTAGTTTTTAACAGATTCACTTGTGCTTTACAAAGCAAATCCAAACCTTTAGGTCTGAAAAACGCAGCGCCTTGTGGGATACAGCCGCTACTGTCTTTCAGAGATGCCCTTCTGAGTGTAACAGCATTTGAAATGCAAACCAACATGTTCACATATTCCTTCAGGGCAAAGCTCTGAAAAACTCCTAAGACAAATCCTGTCTGCAAACATGTTTTTAAATTAATTCATGGAGCAACAGAGAGAATGGGGTATAAAAAGCATGGAAGAAATAATGACTGATAACTTTTCAAAATTAATGATAAACACCAAACCACAGATCTAAAAACCTCGGAGATTACCAAACACACACATAGATACACACACACACACGCACAAACACACAACCTGTAAATATCATATTCAATTTGCAAAAACCAAAGAAAGAAAATTTTAAAGAAAACTAGAAGTTATTGAGGGTGGACACCTTAACTACAGAGGATCAAGACTAAAAATTACAATAAACTTCTCATCAGAAACCGTGAAAGAAATGTTAAAATAAGTTCTTTGGACAGAAGGAAAATAATATAAGTCAAACACTTGGATCTGCATAAAGACAGAACATCAGAAAATTAATAAATTAAGCTAAAAAAATTATTTTATTTTTATTACTCATTATTAATCTAAAAGATAACTGCTTAAAGCAGTAATAGTAGCAACGCAGTAGTGTTTATGGCACATGAATAAGTGACATGAATAACAGCAATGTCACAGGACACAGGAGGGAA